GAACTATACTAGGGCTGGAATCTTTACCTGTCTGACCTCTGACTTATTCTGAGAAATAAGAACAATGGCTGGCCTGGGGGAGATGCTCAATAATTGTGAGGTTAATGAATAGATGAACTATTCCTAGTATATAATCATTTGTTTCAGCTAGTTTTCTTCTTGTTCTCTATATACACCAAGCTCCTATCAGCCCATCTCGTCTGCTAATACCTAATAAACAACACTTAATAGAATGTATTGCAAATTTTAACATATGTGCCCAAATACAAGGCAGTGCCTTGTTGGGCGCCTGGTGGCTTAGTCCGTTAAGTGTCTGCCTTCGGCTCAGGTCATGATCCCAGAGTCCTGGGATCGAGTCCTGCATCGGGCTTCCTGCTCAGCGGGGAGCCTGCTTCTCTCTCTGCCTCTGCCTCTCTCTCTCTCTGTCTCTCATGAATAAATAAAAATAAAATCTTAAAAAAAAAAGCAGTGCCTTGTTCTCCCAAAGAGAACTAAAAAAATGGTTTTCGGTTGACTTCATATATATGAATATTAAAATGTCTACTTTAAGTAGTTACTAATTTAGTGAAAATATGTCTAATATTATTCAGCAACACATATTTAAAATCACATGTGAAATATTTATTTAGAGAGAATGCTTTTTCTTTTCTTTTTTTTTTAAGATTTTATTTATTTATTTGAGAGAGAGAGAATGAGAGATAGAGAGCATGAGAGGGAAGAGGGTCAGAGGGAGAAGCAGACTCCCTGCTGAGCAGGGAGCCCGATGCGGGACTCGATCCCGGGACTCCAGGATCATGACCTGAGCCGAAGGCAGTCGCCTAACCAACTGAGCCACCCAGGCGCCCGAGAGAATGCTTTTTCACTCAAACTTTCTAACAATTCAAATTACCAGTGCCTTCGTCATCATTCAAGCCACTTTTATCATCAACTAGCTCAATTTAGAGATCACACCATCTTCACATATATCCAAATTGTTTGAGGAGTTTTTTTTTAATTCATACCATGCACACATATTCCTGAAATACACAGTATAACCTCTTTCTGTTGCTTTTCTAAAAGGCTTACTCACAACAAGATCTAACACTTGAAACTGTAAAGTCCCAATCCAAGAATAATTCCTTAAATCTATGTTAAATTTTTTTGCCTCCTCTTTGTTTTTAAATGATTCCATCCAGTGATCTCTATAAGCTTGTGGAACTAGCATGAACTGGGGCGCCTGGGTGGCTCTGTCGGTTGGGCATTTGCCTTCGGCTCAGGTCATGATCCCAGAGTCCTGGGATCGAGTTCCAAGTTCCGAGTCCCTGCTCAGCAAGGAGCCTGCTTCTCCCTCTGCCCCCCTCCCACTCATTCTCTCAATCACTCTCTCTCTCTCTCTCTCTCTCTCAAATAAATAAATAAATAAAATCTTAAAAGAAAAAAAAGAACTAGTATCAACTTAGGTTATTTCAGGATGCATCCTCCCCAAACCCTTTGACTCAAAACAAAATATATAAAACAGACATCATGGACTATAATAAGAGACTTTGTAAGAACACAAATTACAAGGCAACTTCTTTTCTGAAAAATTATTTGGAGAGGAAAAATAAACCTTATATTCAGGTATATAAGACATTTGTTCATTTCACAAATACTTAATGAGCACTTCTTGTGTGCCAGGCACTGTGCTAGGGACTAGAGATACAGTGACGTTAGAATCCCATGGGAAAGACCGTCATTAAATGTATAATGCCACAGCTAATTAATTATGATCATTTTAAGTACTATTAAAGATAAATATACCTAGCTATAAGACAGAGGAGTAATAAAGGAACCTAAGTCTGTGGGATTAAAAAATAGTTTCTCCAACAGTGCTATTCATATAGAGTGCAGCAGCAATTCATGTACCCAGTCTATCTGAGTTCAAATAGTGACTCAAATCTTGAGGTTACTTAACCTCACTTTCCTCATTTATAAAGTGGAGCTAACAATAGTACCTACCTCATGAAGTTACACTGAAGATTAAATGACTTAATACACATAAAGCATTAAGAACAATGTTGGCACATGGTACTTGCTTAATAAATGCCAGCTATTATTGCCATTTCAGCTGGAACATGAAAGACAAGCTGGGAGGAAGGGAAGAAACTCCAAGCAGGGGTGCTCAGGTGGGTGGGTCAGTCAGTTAAGCGTCTGACTTCGGCTCAGGTCATGATCCCAGGGTCATAGGATTGAGCCCCACATGAAACTCCCTGCTCAGCATGGAGTCTGCTTGAGATTCTCTCCTTCTGCCCACCCCCCACTCGAGCTCACGTGCTCTCGCTCTCTCAAGTAAATAAATAAAATCTTCAAAGAAAGAAAGATAGAACTCTAAGCAAAGAGCTACATGTGCAAAAGCCCAGAGCATAAAGTTGCTTGGCCTACAGTAGAACTGAAAGGCCAGTGTTTCTTTTTTTTTTTTTTTTAAGATTTTATTTATTTATCTGACAGACAGACAGACAGCGAGAGAGGGAACACAAGCAGGGGGAGTGGGAGAGGGAGAAGCAGGCTTCCTGCCAAGCAGGGAGCCCGATGCGGGGCTCGATCCCAGGACCCTGGGATCACGACCTGAGCCGAAGGCAGATGCTTAACGACTGAGCCACCCAGGTGCCCCTAAGGCCACTGTCTCTAAGCACAGAAAGCTAAGGCGGAAAGGATACCATGAGATATGAGATGAGGCTGAGAAGATGGGCTGAGGTCAATAATGCAAAGCCTTGTAGGTCAGGTTAAGGAGTCTGAACTTTATCCTAAGAGTAAGGAAACCCGAAGGGTTTTATAAAGGGGAGTGACAAGCTTAGATTTGCAATTTTCAAAGCTTTCTCTGGCTATGGAATGGAAAACTGGTTGGAAAGAGGCCTTTGACCTCTATTTTATAGATGACAGGGAAACCAGTAAGGAATTGATTCAGTCCTCTAGATCAGAGGCGGGTGGTGGCACAGAAGAGGGAAGGAAACTAGATGACTACAGAAATAGAAGGCAGAACCAGCAAGACTTACTGGGTGTATGTTGCAGTGAGGGGGCATGGAGGGAGAGGCACTAAACAATAAACATGTATTTGAGGAAGGAAGGAAGGAAGGAAGGAATTCCTGTGTTCCTGCCATATTGTTTTACTGCATGAAATGCCTTCCCTCTATTTCATCTTTCCAGGCACAATACCTTCCCATTTCCTCCACAAAACTGTCTCTGATTGATCTTGTCCCCTTCTTTCCAGGAGTGTTCTAGAATTTTAGAGCTGAACATTCTTGAGATACGTAATGATTGAGAGAACTTAGACACTGCCTGAAGACAGAGATCATGTTTTAGTCAACTTTATTTTTTCTTTTAAGATTTTATTTATTTGACAGAGAGAGACACAGTGGGAGAGGGAACACGAGCAGGGGCAGAGGCAGAGGGAGAAGTAGGCTTCCCGCTGAGCAGGGAGCCCGATGCGGGGCTTGATCCCAAGACCCTGGGATCATGACCTGAGCCGAAGGCAGATGCTTAACAACTGAGCCACCCAGGCGCCCCTGTAGTCAACTTTCTATCCCGCCCACCTCATCTCCCCAGCACTTGTAGAGATTCTCATTACAGAACACTTTCTCTGACTTCATGAGTGGTATAGTCATAAACAGCCTATGCTAATATAAAGCTCCTTGACCCATTAAGCATTATATGGAGGTTTCACAACCATTTTCTTCTCGGATCTTCACAGAATCCTTATAAAGTAAGTACTATTACAGAGAAAATAAACTCAGAGCTAAAGTGACATGTCCAAGGTCACACACACTAAAGGAAACAGCAGTGCTAAGATTTGAACCTAGACCCTGTTTCCAAATGGGATGCTTTTTACAACTCTCCATGGAGGGTAAATATTCATATGCACTTGAGACATTAAACTCTCAGAGGCAGCTAAGTGCCACTTCTAAGAATCCTTCCCAGTTTCAGTAATTAATTAATTTATTCAAGAATATTAATTGAGCACCTAGGGGTGCCTGGATGGCTCAGTTGGTTAAGACTCCCATTCTTGATCTCAGCTCAGGCCTTGAGCTCAGGGGTGGTTAAGTTCAAGCCCTGCGTTGGGCTCCACACTGGGGTGGAGCCTACTTTAAAAAAAAATAAAGAATATTTATTGAGCACCTACTACATTCTAGGAATGGCACCTAGTATTAGGGGTAAGGTACAGCAGTGAACAAGGCAAGAAGGTGCTTGCCCTGTCTAGTTCAGGGAGGGGGTCAAACAAGGAAATATATAAACAGCGTTAAAGGCTAGGTACTATAAAGAAAATACACGAGGTGCTGGGGGAAAATGTGTATCCTTAAAATGGGCATTACTTTGAATAGGGTGGTCAGAGAAACTCTCAGAAAAGTGACATTTGAAACCGACCGTGGTCTTCAGGAGGCGCTTAACGAAAGGCATTTCCCCACAAACCTAGTTTGGAAGCCGGCGTCTAAAGCCAAAAGGTACTTAGTGTGCACAGTGGCCGCTCCCAGGCCTCCAACCCTGGCCACCTCACTGGCCTTGGGACAGTTCCCGGCCTACTCCGGCCGCCACCACTAGAGGGCGCCGCGGGTCTCCCCAGCGCCCAGGAGGGGCCGCGGCCCTAGGCACTGCCACACTGACACCTGGCACCCACCGCGTCAAGGCCCCGAAGCCCGGGGTACGGATGGAGGGCAAGGGCGGCGCTAGGAAGCCCTAGGGAATCGCGAGGGATCAGCAGGCCCTCAGTGAGAGGACATCCCCAAGATCACAAATCCAACCACTGCCATACGTCCTCACTGCTTCGGGGACAGCCAGCTTCCGGCGCCTTTAAATCAGGAAATACTGGCTGCGTCCAATCCTGGTCCTCCTTTCGCCACTTAGTCTTAGCGCCGGTTCTTCGCCAGGGGAGCGCCAGGCCGGCCGTCTATGGACACCAATCAGCACTCAGGAAAGGCGCATGCGCTCTGGAAAGAACGTGACGTACAGTAGACTTTGCCCTAAAGGCGACCTCCTCTCTTCTCCCCCTCCCTCGCTGTGAAGATGGCGCTCTCCAGGGTGTGCTGGGCTCGGGCTGCTCTGTGGGGTTCGGCGGTCACCCCTGGACCTCATGTCACCCGGAAGCTGCAACTTGTTCGCTGTGGCCTGGCCTGGGGGGCCCCTCGGTGAGGGACCTGGGAGAAAGGAAAGCGTTTCTGACGTACAGGCCTTTCCAGCGGCTCAACCTTGTTTGCATGCTGTCTCTTAATTCTCAGCGTCCCACGCCCTGGCCCCGGGGTCTTTATTCTTCTGCTCAGAACTCGCACCCCGATCGCCACTAGTGATATGGCTTCCTGACCCTCACAACTCTCAGTGCCCCATATTTTCCGTATTCCCCACGTGTCCTGAACTCATCTTTCAGCCTCCCTCTTTGGGCTTAGCTCCCTCTTTTACTGCTACTTATCTGTATCCCATCTCTTTGGCCTTAGCATGCTGTTCAAAGGGTCCCTCAGGCTTTGCTCTCCCTGCAGACTCACATCACACCCGACATTCCTCCCTGCCTGATCTCTCATCTGCCCGATGTTTTTCTCGGTCTGATTGCTTATCTGTCCTTGAGCCCGAGATCTTCCTTGGATTTCAGAAGATTCAGGTCTTAGCATACATTCTCCGAGACTGGTGTTTTGCATTAGTGTAAAAGGGGCTCGAGGACTGATTCCCAGACAGTCTCTTTGATCTTCCTTGTAGGTCTTCAAAGCTTCACCTTTCACCAAAGGCAGATGTGAAGAGCTTGATCTCTTACGTGGTGGCCAAGACAAAAGTGATTAATGGGAAATACCATCGTTTCTTGGGTCGTCATTTCCCCCGCTTCTATGTCCTGTACACAGTCTTCCTGAAAGGTAAAACCAAAACAAATCCCTTGAATCCTTTCGTGGGCAATGTCAAAGAGTTTAGAATAAGTAAGATTACTTGCATGTTCTGCTATGTGGTGTGAGCTGGGGTGTTTTCTGTTTCATAAATGCTTGAGGATTAAATTAGTTCTAAGTTAGCACTTCTGGAGAATGTGTCTAAAAAGTATCATGACAATTTCTGACAACATCCAGGGGGAATATAGGTATTTTTGCATTTTTCTTAACCACATATAGCTGACTATTGTAGAAATTCTTTGACATGCACAAGGCCAGGCATCTATATGGCTTCACAGACCTGTCCTGTGATTTATCAGTTGACTTGGCCCATAAGAAAATGTGGTCTAATGCTTGTCACAAATCTGTCCTAGATAGCATATCGTGGAAACAACACTACATATACTTATTTTCTGAATGTTTTCATTCAGATCAGAGCTGTGCTAGTTACTAGAAGATGATATAATGACAGGTGTCCACTCTGGTGCCAGACTGCCTGAGTTCGTATCCCAGCTTGTCACTGGCTGTGTGACTGGACTAATTACTTAACCTCTCTGTCCCTTGGTTTGTCTCATCTGTAAAATATGGAAAATAATAGGACCTACCGATTGATCACATGGTTGTGAAAATTAAATACATCAATACATGTAAAGTACTTACGGCCTGATCATAGTATGTGCTCAATAAACGTATCTATAATTATTATTGTACTCTATACTTTTGTTATAACAGCATTTACAATAAACTACCATGTTAGCTGTGAATATTATCATGATTATTACTAGCTTCATGGACTTGCAAAATCTAAAGTAGAAATAGAATGGCTACTTTGTCTGCTACCACGTTTATAACCGGGATTAAATGAGAAAAGAGTCTGGAAAAGTATTTTGGTTGGTTTGTTTTTAAGCTTTTTTTTTTTTTAAGATTTTTATTTATTTATTTTTGAGAGAGAGAGAGCACAAGCAGGGGGAGGGGCAAGCAGAGGGAGAAGCAGGCTCCCCACTGAGCAGGGAACTCGACGCTGGGCTGGATCCCAGCACCCTGGGATCATGATCTGAGCCAAAGGCAGAACGCTTAACCGACTGAGCCACCCCGGTGCCCTGTTTTTAAACTTTTAATTATGGAAAATGTTAAATATACACAAAAATAGAATAATATGATGAATTTTCATGTACTCAACCTTACTTTAGCAGTTATAAACTCCTGGCCACCAATCTCCTTTCATTTATACACTTGCCTTGTCCTATATTATTTTGAAGCCTACCTAGATATTATATAATTTCATTCATAAATATGAAGGCATTTTTAAAAAAGTAAAGCCTTAGGTAAAATGTAAGAATTACCATCAGATGAACAACAACAAAAAAATGCAATAATAGAAATATGTTGAATTACAGTGTTTCTGAAAGTGTTCTAGAAAGGAGATAAGTTAATATCTGGTTGGGGACTACATAAGGTTAATTGAGCAAGAATTCCTGAGGTTAGGGAGTTTTTGAATTTTTATTTTAAAAAGGGAGTGAGTAGTGAACCAGAAGAAGGAGAGCATCCCATAGTAGATCACAGAAGGCCACCTTGGCTGGAAGAGAGGTGATGTGCTGGGGGGATAAAGAATGAGAAGAGAGAGATAGGTTGGCCTCACAGGAGTTTCAGGGGTCCTAGTTTAGAGCTCTGGTTTAGAGTAGTGTCGGGGAGGGGCAGATACGTGCGCTGTGGGTAAACATGCAGTTGGAAGCTGTGGTGAGATTCAAACTGGGATAACGTCACACTCTGTCCTCTACTTTAATGAGGCAGGATTGCAGATGATATGGGCTGATGCCAAAAAGGCTAGAAGAATAAAGACAAATATGTGGAAGCACAATATAAAGTTTCATCAACTTCCATACCGGGAGATGGAGCATTTGAGACAGGTATGGGCCAGGGGCAGAGATCAGAAGTCCATGGTGAGGTAACTCAAGTTAACCAAGATCTCAAGCTTTTTTCTTTCCTATCTTGTTCACCCGTGATCAACCTTTTCCCATCCGCTGTGAGATCAAAGCACTGAACTAAATGAGAGCATCAGGTTATTTGTCAGAATTGGGTTTATTCAGAGTTGTAGCCCTCTGTAACAGAGCTCTGTAGAGATTCTGGCTTTACTTTTTGAATAAAAGTTGTGTATACTAAAATCCAGTTCATTTCTGAATATATAAAAATCTGCAAGGATCCAAAAGGCAGCAGGAAAGTAGCATTTGGTGGTGACTTGATGGATAGTTTTGAAGCTGAGAGTGAGAACCTAGGACCCATTTGGCGTATCAAGAAGAATTTGTTGAGGGATTTGGTATAGTGTCAGGTCCCTTACCAGACATTATTTGGGATACAAAAATGAACAGATCAGGGTTTCTGTCCTCAAGGAACTTACCAACTAGAAGTAGATAGAAATAACCTTGATCCTTCTCTGGGCTGCAATAGAAGTTTACTGCACAGTGTGGGGGAGGGATTGTTCATCGTATTAAGAACTTTGGGTTAAAACTGCGTCTGTCTTTATTTCTGCTTAGTTCCGTCGAGACGTCACCAAGTGTCTTTTCCTAGGTATTATTTCCATTCCACCCTTTGCCAACTACCTGGTCTTCCTGCTAATGTGAGTACAGATTTCTATCTTCCCAGCATATTGAAGAAACGTAGATTTTTTTTTTTTAAGATTTTTTATTTATTTATTTGACAGAGAGACAGCAAGAGAGGGAACACAAGCAGAAGGACTGGGAGAGGGAGAAGCAGGCTCTCCGCTGAGCAGGGAGCCCGATGTGGGGCTCGATCCCAGGACCCTGGGATCATGACCTGAGCCAAAGGCAGACACCTAACAACTGAGGCACCCAGGCGCCCCGAAATATAGATGTTTTTTAAATTAAAAATTATTTAAAGAACTTTCCATTTCAGAAGTAGGCAGAGATTATCACACTTCCTGTTCCAATCTTCTAATTAGCCACTCAGTAACACTTGGATTCCTGGGTCAGCTGTAGGTGTAGGTAGCTTAGACTTTTCATGTCTCTTAGCTGCCCCTGTGTGATGTGAAATAATATTATGACCTTTTCCATCATCCCTAGAGGCAGCAGCCCACTCCCTGAGAAGCATAGCAATTTGGGAGAATCTTTTGTTTCAGGAGAGAAATGCATTTCATATTCTGATAACATAAATTTTTATTATTTTATTTTGTATCCAAAGATGACAGTTATTTTATTTTATTTTATGTATGTATGTATTTTAAAGATTTTATTTACTTGAGAGAGAGAGCAAGAGAGTATGAGCTGGGGGAGAGGCAGATGGAGAGGGTGAGGTAGACTCCCTGGCTGAGCAGGGAGCCTGACATGGAACTCCATCCCAGGACCCTGAGATCATGACCTGAACCAAAGGCAGACGCTTAACCAACTGAGCCACCCAGGCACCCCAATTTTATTTTATTTTTTTAATTAATTTATTTATTTTGAGAGAGCAAGAATGGGTGAGCATGGCGTGGAGGGGTAGAGGGAGAGAATCTCAAGCAGACTCCCCGCTGAGCATGGAGCCCAGCAGGGGAATCGATCCCATGACTCTAGGATCATGACCTGAGCCGAAATCAAGAATCGGACCCTTAACTGACTGACCCACCCACGTGCCCCCAAAGATGACACTTTTAAACTGTGATCTTGCTTGTTATTTTAGTTATCTGTTGCTGTATAACAAACAGTCTTGAAGCTTAGTAGCTTTTCATGGTTTTGTGGGTCAGGAAATCGGGCGGGGTTCAGGTGGGTGACTGATTTTTCTCTTCCATATGGTGTTGACAGAAGTCCCTCAGGCGTATTTAGCTGATGAAGAGACTAATCTGGTTGGTCTAAGGTCACTCTTAAGTCTGGTGCCTTAGTGAGGATGGCTGGAAGGCTGGAGCTCTGAGTTAGAGTACCTACAGGTGACCTCTTTAATAGGGTGGCCTCAGAGTAATGGGACTTCTTACATGGCAGCTCAGGGCTCCAGGGGTGAGTGTTTCAGCAAATAAGAATCTGCTTGGCCTTTTATAACCTAGCCTCAGAGGTCACAAAGACTCACTGTGCTCTCTTTTATTGGTTGAATCAGTCACCCAGATTTAAAAAGTAAGGGGACATAGACCTTACTTCTCAATAAGAGGAATGTCAGAGAGTTTGCGGCCATGTTTTTAAACCACCACACATGTAGAAAAATGAATTAAAAAACACATTTGCCCTGAACGTTTTATATATACATACGGACTGTGCCACAGTGTGAGGTTGTCAGCATCACATACAATGAGCAGCTCTGTCTGCCACTCTCTCCAACTCTGTCCAAAATATGTTCTTCAAATGCTTTAATTCAAATGAAGTCATTTTATCTAATCACTACACGCAAGGCTGTCCCACTGCTGCTTCCTTTCACAGAACCTCAATAATGTTGCCTGAAATTGTGCTTCAGTGTATCTTTAAACCTTGGTCTGAGACTCATTTACAGAAAAGAACAGTGAGGTAGGGAAGTCATGTCTCCCATCTCTTCTTCCTAGTGTTCATGTCCGCCAAATGCTTTCTTGGGTCACTTTGAAAGTTGCTGGTTTCAGCAAGTGACATTGTGATTCCTTTTCCTTTCAGGTACCTGTTTCCTAGGCAGCTACTGATCCAACATTTCTGGACCCCAAAGCAACAAATTGATTTCTTAGATATCTATCATGCTCTCCGGAAGCAGTCCCACCCAGAAATCCTTTGTTATTTAGAAAAGGTTATCCCTCTCGTTTCTGATGCAGGACTCCGGTGGCATATGACAGAGCTGTGCACCAAGGTATTCCTCCAGCTAACCCTTCCTGCAAACTCCGACTCTTGTGAGATCCTGTTTGCACTAAAACTAGGGAAAAGGGCCAGGCAGGACCTTCCTAACCTCTACCAATCTCTCACCTCTCCCAAGATACAGCGTGGTACCCACCCAGCAACACATGATATCCTGGCTCTGAGAGAGTGTTTCTCTAACCATCCTCTGGGCATGAAGCAACTCCATGCTTTGCAGATGGTGAGCACTTTGTGGCTTTCTGTGTCCCGCAGCCTCACCTTGCCTCAGGTCTTGCATGTTGTAATAACTATGTTGACTTTCTCCTCCTGTGTTGATGTGTTACAGAAAGCCTTGAGCCGAGCCATGCTTCTCACGCCTTACCTGCCTTCTTTCTTGTTGAGACACCGTTTAAGGACTCATACCACTGTAATTCACCAACTGGACAAAGCTTTGGCAAAGCTGGGGATTGGCCAGCTGTCTCCTCAGGAGGTGAAATCGGTAAGAACTTACTGCGATATCAACCCTCAGTCCTTGGTGGCTTTTGAGCTCCCGGGGCTGGGAGCTTACAGACAGCTCCCTGTTTTGCTTGTTAGAACAAAGCCCAAACTCTATTCTTTCAGCTTGTTTCTGTGTCTTATTTCTCAGTGAACTTAACTCATGGAAAAGGAATTGCCCATAGTAATTTTGGTTTATGTTTCTTTTCTTTTGGCCCTTCAAAAACCGAGGACGCTATTCTTTAGACCTACTGTTTTTGATTATATAGGCCTCATGGCTTGTCTGTCGTAGTTCAGATTGCTATAGAGAAAGGTTTCTTGTGGGTATGGAGTTATAACTTACTTAAAGGAGATTTTGAATTATTTGTGGGCTTACAGTTCCTGGGGATATTTGCTATGTGATTATTGAGGACTGTTCCTCTTCTGAGTGATACAGGCTTGTTACCTTCGTGGCCTGAATTCTACCCATATTGCTGAAGAGAGGTGTCGAACTTGGCTAGGAGAGTGGCTACAGATTTCCTGCAGCCTGAAAGGTAAGACACATCCCTGTGGTTATGCCACTAAAATCCAAAATATTTTTCTGTTTGATTCTAAGATTATTTTGGAGTTGATTATTGAGTACCATGAGACCCCTATTTAATATATATATCTAATTGAAAGGGCATAAACTCATTTGCCTACAGGGGCTAAGCAGGTAATGAAGTGGAACTCTGCAAGACAAGAGGGAGTAGTGAGGATTGTGGGAGGCCAAAACAGCATGCATGCCAGTCTGAAGCAGTTTCTCAGCCCCAGCACTATTGATGCTAATGTCCTGTGCATTTGAGAGGATCTCTAGCAGTATCCCTGGTCTCTACCCACTAGATGCCAGCAGCATCATCCATGCCAGTTCTGACAACCAAAAATGTCTCCAAACATTGCCGGATGTCCAGTGGGGCAGAGGAGAACAGAATTATCCCAGTTGAGAAGCGCTAGGCTAAAGGCATTCAAATTCGGAACAAAAACACTCAATTGGCTAAATAAAAAGACCCGAGGGTGGGTATTAGGCCTGTGGGTCTCTTGTTGGAACCTTTGGCTAGGCCTTGATGTTTTCTAAGCCTGTGAATATCAGGGTAGGCCTACTAGTCTCCTTGGAGCCAAGAAATGTTTCCAGAGCACCAGCTTCTACCAGAAGAATCCCAGGGGTGATTAGTATCATTACCATCTCTGAATTTTCTACCGCCACCCCTTAAGAGTCAAGAAGAAACGAGGATGAGTGGAAAGGAGTATCTGGTGGAAGGAAAGGAAAGCATCCATGCAGGGGCTGGAACGAAGCAGGGGCCTTTGAGAACAGTAACCTCTTGACGTCACACCTCTGCACTTGGCTTCCCGCCTCTAGTATCAAAGCCCCGTCGACCAAGGCAGTTAGCAGGCTAACTGTTGTTCCCTGGCCAGGCCATTAACGCTGCTGGTGTTTACAGAAGCTGAGCTGTCCCTCTTGCTACACAACGTGGTCCTGCTTTCCGTCAACTACACCGGGACAAGGCGCTGAGTGAACGCGGGGCGGATGGCATTGTCCTGCAGCCACAGAGTGCGGCAGCGTGGCACCTACCCGCACCGGTCGGCCGGGGCTCTGCGTGCGCTGGTAGGTGCGCCCGAGGCAGGGGACAGGTGCTACGGGCTTCCCAGCGCAGCCGCCATGCTGCAGCTGGGACTGAAACAAGCCCTCTTAGCAGAGGTGGCCCGTGTGAGCCGGCGACCCGGCTTCCTCAGAACCAGCCGGGGCGGCCGGCAGCCTCTGTACTGGGCCTCCATTGTGATGGTTCCAGCTCAGAGCCTAGGAAGTGAGCTTGTGCCACAGGTGGAAAGCCTCATCTGGCCCAGGGCTCACCCGCTGCCGTAGTCTTTAGAGCTGCGTTTTTGTCACAGTGTCCGGCTGGTGAGGGCAACGGCACTGTTGAAATTGGAGCATTTACATCTATGCGCGTACGTCGATGCTGCCCTCGATCCTTTTTGTGATGACCAAAAACAGGTCTTTGTTTTTTGGGTTTTTTTTTTTTTTTTTTTTTTGGTCCCCTCACTGGGTTAACCACTCCCTTTCCTTTCCAAATCCTTGACCATCTTTTTTTTAAGCAAATAGTTATTCATATATGGGAACTTTCTAATGCAAAAGATAAAAGGAAACACAAGTGCTTCTTGCCCCTTCCCGTGTTTATGGCCTTCACCCCCCCCCATCTTAATTTCTGCGCTGTGGTGCAGCCCCTAAGGAGCCTCAACTCTGCTTACCTCCACTGTGCTGCAGCAGTCCAGCTGTAACAGGACAGTGGCCACCTTCTCTGGGCCACGGATTAAACTTCTAAGGTACTAATCCTTGCCCCGCCTGGGAGACCAGAGAGGCCTGCAGTGTGAGTAAGTCGGGTTTAGCTTTTGTCTGTGTACATCATTGACCTGTAGTAACTTACTGTAAATGCATGAAGCACTGTTTTAAAGCCAAGTAAAGACTGCCTGAAACCAGTTGCTGGAAATGACTTATGCATACTCTAATTATTTTGCTAAAGCTCCTTTGACAAGACTGACAAATCTAACTAACGGGGGAGGTAGGTGGTTGGAATAGAAGCTTCTGATGGGATGGAAGTTCTGAGGGATCTGATTTGACGATCCTCTTTGCTGGACTTTAAGATGGTAACAAGGAATAGAGAATTGGGAATTAACAAATGAGCCCCCAGAGTAGGGCCTAGAGAAAGGGAAAAGCTCCAACAGGGCAGGATCAAGGCCTGCTTCAGCTGAAGAGGTGCATAAGGGCATATGATGCAAGTCAAGCTCTTGATGCTCCAAAGAGAATGTTGTTTTTCCACCATAATGTTCTTAACATTAATCTCTAACTGGCCTAGTTTTATATATGATGCTAGAGAAACACCCTTTCTCTAACAAGTAACAAGCCTGCCAAGATAAAGAATAACACACCGTTCTTTTGAGTATTTCTTTAATATTACATTTAAATAGTCTCTTTAAATACAGCATTATCACAATGTAAAGGACCTAAAAGGCAAAAAAAAAAAAAAAAAAATTTCCTTTCAGAGAACCAGACAAGCTTTGGATTCACATTGAAAATACTACCTGTATACAGTATGTGAGAAAGGAAACTGGAAAATAATGAGTTGCAATAATAGATTTCTTTTATCTAGGCCTAGACTGAGCGGGACCGAAGCCATCTGCTCCTGATCACAGGAGGCCTAGGCTTAGCTTTTCTAGCAACCATGAGCCAGAATTCTGTCCAGCTCAGGTAGCACCAGAAACGAGATGGACTAGGTTGTAGAAAAGGCTGTTTGCTTGACAAGACGATTAATGCTCAATGTTAATATTCAGCATTAAAAAACTTGGGATCAGCAGGAGTCAGAATTGTTGAGTTAGTGGAGGGATGGACTTGGATTAAGAAACTGGTTTTTCAGATATCACTTCTTGGCCTTTTGGCTAAGATCAAGTGAAGAAACTAGTTTTTCAGAAAAACCAAATTATCTTGGGGGTTGGCAGTCATTTTGACAATTAGATTCAGATTCTTGGTTTGATCCCAAAGGCTAAAGTGTCTCTTATTGAGCAGCTGGAATCCACCTCCTAGGTGAGGCTGGAGCCTTCCTAAGGAGGGAATGTGTAGAGCCCACCCTCCCCTTCCAACACAAACTTTCAGGAAGGTTCTTCTCCAGAGTCAACTTTGCAGTGAAGCTTCAGTCTCGTATTCAAGGGGCCGGCCAAAGGTGGGAGAGTGGTGTTCAGCTTGGGAGAGTGTCAAGATCTCAGGTACTTAAGACTGTCTGTTTTGTGAGGCCAGAGGATTGGGGGGGGGGGGGACAAGGTCCCGTACTTAAGAACTCCCCTCCAAATGTAAAACCAAGCAAAACCGGAATGAACAGGAGAGGCAGACTGGGTTAAAAGATGTATCTGTTGAAGTACAAGGCCTCACAGGCTCAGGTGAGAGATATGGTAGGTGAACTGCTGCCGGGACTTACATAAAGGGTGCTTTAACGACCCCCGAGAAAAGGCTTGGTGAGCAAGGTAAGTGGAAAGAGTTCTCTCCCCCACCAAAACCAAAGAGGGTTTTCTCTTGTTCTTTGCTGGTTAATAAACCATACCAGAAGTGAAGCATGATGTAAAGGTGCTAGATAAGAGTGTTTTGCTCCCTCCTGCCTCCAAAGGGAGGCAGAGAGAACTGTTAATAAAAAGAATTCCATGGTGTTCAGTGGAGCACATCCTGGAACGTAAGCTGGACATAAGAGCAGGAACCGTGTCCCCCCACAGAGGTAAGAGCTGAATTTGAGCCCCACTTTATAGATCTCAAAGGTTATATTCGGAACTTGAATTCTTTGGAACCTGGGAGCTGCATTTAAGAATTAGTTAGGCTTCCAATTTTTACATATCAAGATGGAGGGATGCAATTAACATTTGCAGTTCTTGGGGGCGGGGGGGGGGGGGGGGAAACCTGTGTGGACAGGAGCAGTGTAAGAACTCTCCAACCCTGTATATCCAAGGACCACGAGGGTGGATACAGAAAAAAAGAACAAAAACTAGTCAGTGACTTTAGATTACCACATCCTATGTTCCTTTAAAGCTCAAACCTCCCAGAGTGGGAGAAAAACCTGGGTGAAAAAGCAAGCGTGGTGCAAATAAAGTCTTCTTTCCAGACAGCAGCCTGTCCCTGCTGCCTCTTTTGGACAGTTACTGCTCCATGTACGCCTCCCACAGCCTAAAGCCGCCCGACAGAGCCAGCGTTAGACACAGACAGAAGACCCTGGCTCTTTAGGCCACATCCCCAGCCAGTCTAGCTTTTTCTTCAAGGGAAAAGGAAGGAGGGGGGAAAAAAGATAAATAGACAAGTCTAACCCTAGTACCTAAGAACACGTGAAAGAAATAATTCAAGTTACAGACCAGGAATCCCCAGTGTGGGGAACAGGTCAGAGAACACTAAACATGTCAAATATTAACTTATTTACCAAATAGGGGGGCCAGGGAAGGCAGGTTAAATTTTGATAAATCCCGGAGGTTTTCTACAGAAGCAGAGACCCTTCTATCCACTCCCCTCTGGATGTGACCAGATGATACTCCAGCTGATGACGATACACCAAAGTGGGATATCAGGGTGACTGATGAGAAAATGAGCTCGTGCCCCACCTGGAGCTCAGGGAAGGAGAAGGGGCTTTGCCATGCTGTTCAAATTACTGTGTTCTGGTCCCTACATAAAGAATAGCTGCTTGAGTTACCCAGCTTCTCCTGTGAGATCCTCATTCTTTGTTCCAGTGGCCCAGAAAGCTCAGTATTCAGCACTGTGCAGCCTCTGCCCCAAGACTCTCCCCAGATCAGGCTGGGACTGGTCTCCTTGGTTCCGTTTACCCTTAGAAAATACTTTTACAAACAATTCTTTCCCACCCATCCCCCCCAAGACCCCGATAAAATAACATGGGGGTAGCAGCTGCTTCTACAGTTTTGTTTTGAAATGGTGTTAGATAAAATAAGGGAATAAATAGAGAATGGGTAAGAGGCAGAATCTCCGTCCCCGCGTCACACTGCCAGAGGGAGTTCTAGGGAAGAATCTTCAGGGGGCCTGTCCTCACTCTGCTGTGAGCCTTTCTCCACCACACAGCCCTCTTCGTTGTCCGTGCGGAAGGGGAGGCTCGAGGGGGACCACGAGGGGCGGAAGTCTTCGTTCTCAGGCTCCTCGGGGCTACAAGCTTCCGGCACTAGCGCTTCTAGAGTGGACGTTTTCCCCACTTCCGATTTACACAGGGCAGCTGGGTCTGTGGGGCTACAAGCCACCAGTGAGGTAACAGGGAGAGAGAAGACATTCAGATCCTTCTCCTTGGGGAAAGAGGGTGGGACTTCTTCGGTACTGGGCTCTCCTTTCACCCCCAGCACGGGCCTCTGCTCCACCTGATAATAGACCAGGGGCCCGCTGTTCAAGTAGGACGGGCTGTTCACTGCTGAGGCGCTGGGGTGGTCCGAGTTCTCGGCAAAACACAGGACCGAGGAGCCGGGGGTCAGCTGGGCCTGGATGAGAATGGGGGCGGTCAGGCCGGGGCACAGCTCTTCGGGAACAGCCAGGGGCTCCTCCAGGATGCACACGCCCAGGCTCTCTATGCTGGAGTCCAGGCTGGCGCTAGAGCCACTGGAATCTTCCTCTGCCTTGAGCCGCTCCAGTTCCTCCGCGCTCTGCAGGTGCATCACTGCCGTCTCGTTCTCAGCGAGGAACTCCTGAAAGTCCTGTGTCTCCGAGCCCTGGGCTCCCGTCAGGCTGCAGCTGGCCGTCGGGGAGGGCTCCTCGTCTGGGGCCGGTGGGCGGCTCACCTGCCGCTTGCTCTCCAGCTCCAGCTTCATGATGGTGTGGAGGTAATGAGTCCGGACCCGGATCGGATTAAACTCAATGCGCCCAGCCATGTTCCCACAGCCATCCCGTGAACAGCCGCATGGGAAGGACATGCGATCCACCTGAGGAGAGGACAAGAAGGTTGAGGGAAGATGAGAGCATCAGATTTCAGGACGGGGCTAGGAGACGAGCTGGCAAACATGGGCGGCGGGGATTTGAGGTCTTCTTCAAAGAGGAACCGGGAACAAATGGAACAAACAGCGCGACCTAACAGCGCTAGGTGGAAGTTATCAGACCGCCTGCATTTCGGTTCCAGCACAGCCGCTGAGTAGCAGTGTGCCCTCAGGAAGGGCCTCGATCTCAGGGGCCCCTGGGCAGTGCAGTCACTTAAGCATCCAACTCTTGGTTTAGGCTCAGGCCATGGTCTCAGGGTTGTGGGATCAAGCCCTGCAGCAGGCTCTGCACTCGGCGCAGAGTCTTCTTGTCCCTCTCCCTCCCCTGCTGCCCCTCCCCCTGCTTGTGTTCTCTTTCTCTCAAATAAAATCTTAAAATAAAAAAAAAGAAGGTCCTTTCTCTCTCCAGGGCTTTGTTTCCTCTTACAAATAAAATGTAGCCAAAAAATCATGTTAAAGGGCCTTTCCAGTTAAAAAGTCCAGAGATACCTCTCTGAATGCTGACAGTTCTCAGAGTAGAAGAAATTTTTGTGCCTCAGAGACTTTTCCAGAACTTACCTAGTTTATTGAGAAAACAAAGGCTGAGGCCCAAGCCTACTGCCTTCTGCAATGACAGGGAAAGGAAGTAGAAGATCTAGCTGGTCCAAAGCAATGTATCTTAGTTTCCTAGGGAAACTAAGTGACAGTGCCTTAGTTTTGCTAGGGTGCGATTAATCATGGCCAGCTTTTCACCACCTGCTTCATTTTCCCCTGACGGTTGACCAGTTTAGGTCTGGAGCAGTTACTATGATAAAACTAACTTACAGACCAGGAACATCTAGGAAGGAAATTCTGCCTCCGTATCTCCCTTTTGGACCCCAAAAAGGAAAGAAGCCCACATATGCCAAAAATAAAAAATATAAGCAAATATGTATATACAAATACACAATGTCTTCCTATGGTAACAACTTCTAGAACTCTCCATTCCAGTTCTTAGGAGCAGTCCAATTCCTAGGACTATTCTCAGGACTGTATAACAGACTGATTCATTATGGGACTTCAGTCTGAAAAGCAGTATTTGGCCAGATCCGCTACAGCTATTACCTACCTAAAAATAAGAAAGAAAAGGTTCATTAGGATACATTCAACCACAAAGACTCGGTATACAAGTTCCAAATAAATTTCATCCTTTGGCATGGTACTGCTGTTTTCAATGGAGATATGCCTGCTAAACTGTCCCTTGTAGGTTAGGGGATGATGTCTTCCATCTTTCAAGACAGTGGACTTAAAGCTCTGCCAGGCCAAGTCTGATCCTGAATTATAAGAAGCCGAGAATTATTTTGAGTTACAGAACTGGAGTAGAGGTCCTGTGAGTGCAAGGTAAAATCTAAAGGCCTCAGCTCATCTCTCTGCTTCCTTTGAGCTCATAAAATCAGTCAATATTCAAGGAACAGCTACTAATGTTAAACTTATCAACCCATGTTCTCCCATTTGCTGATAGCTGCTTCTTATCACTTCTAAGGTGAGAAACACAGGAAAGGTAATTCCTACCTCCCCAGCCTAGGAATCCTGCCATGCTTTGTGTTTTTCCTTGGTGGAGGAGGGCAGTGGAACCAGGGAGTGTTCCCAGTCATGGGGAATGCACCCACGGATGATGGGCAGTCTCCCGTGTTCCTTGGTACCCACATCACATCCCCCGGCCTCTAGAGTAGATCTACCATCTCAGGCCAACTTGGACTGACCTGGCATTTAATCCCAGCCTGACTACAGGCACATGCTTCTGGGTCACAATACAGGCGACAGTCACAACCACACTCTTCCCGTGACAGGCGGATGGCTCGAAGTTCTTGCTTCTCTTCAGCATCAATGCGGTGGACCCCCGAAGCCCTCAGCAAGGCTCGTCGCCGTTTGGTGGGCAGGGGCTGCAGGAAGAAGTAATCATCCACCTCCACGTTTTCCACATCAATATCTTCATCTGAAACATCATCCAGGGTCAGGCCATCGGCCTCCACCGACTCCACTGTCCCATTCTTGGTCAGCTGCCAGGAGACAGGAAGGAGAGGTTAGCCTCGAGTATTCTCAGCATGCACCTCCTGACACGGCACCTAGAGCAGCAGAGCCCAGCTGAACTCTGCGATGAGGGCAAGATCCAGGCTGCCCGTAGCACACGTGCTGATGAGCACTGTACATGTGGCTAGTGCAGAGCAGAAGGGGACCTTTTTAATTTTATTTTGTTTTAATGAAGTATAAGTAGCCACATGTGGCTAGTCGCTCCCACACTGGATAGTTGAAGAGAATAAATCTAGAGCAGGAAGGCGGGAAGGCTTACGTAGCTCTAACACCTCCCTGTCAACACAGGGGCTATCACCTTCCAGATCAAAGTTTCTCAAAGCCCGTGTCTCATCTTCCCTCCTAGAAGACAGACATACCCACCATCCCCAGACCTGTGTCCCGTAACTTCAGCTAACTTGCCTTCTAACACAGGGAGGAGGAGGTCTATCAATGGCTGCACGTTCCCTGGATGTACAGATAAACTTGCAAAACACCCTTCCTTCTGTACCCCAAAGGACCCCAAACCACATTCTGGGAAGAAGAGTACACTAAAGCGTAGTACAAGGCTACCAGGTCTTTGTCAATGAACCTGAATCCCCACAGTGTGAAGAATTATCTGCATACACAAGAAGAGCTTCATTTCACTGGGAGGAGAAGAAAATGACCAAATTTTTTAACGGCTATCAAAGAGAGCCCTCACTTCCAACCCATAGCCTAGAATATATTCATTCTCCTTTCTAATTCTTTTTCTTTGATTTCAAAGAAAAGCTGTCTGTGAAGTTGGGTGGCATATATAATACTGAGGTACTATCTATGGGCAGAAATCTGGGTTCTCTGGGCTAAGAAGGACAGAGAACCAGGAAAAGGAGTCTTCGTGGAAGGACAGGCTGAAGACAATCTGGCTGAATGAGTTTTGAAAACTCACTGGAGAATTCAAGGAAAGAAAATGAGACTTCGTGATTCCCAGAGCTCTGGAAGCTACTAGGAGGATGAAAGCTAAGCTCCTGGAGGGGCTGGTTTATTTCATCAGACCCAGCCACAGATTAGTGCTAGTAAAGGAACAACTCCTGGGAGAGAGATGATGCAACAGATTCAGGCTAATCAGCTCCACACCTGTTTTGTTTGTTTGTGGGAAGGTGGGAGAGAGAGGGGACAAATACGGTGGTGCTTCTGGGCGTTTCCTGGTCTGTTGTTTATGTACCAGGCGGACTCATGATGAGGGGCCCTTCTGCCGACCTTGGGACTGCTCCTGCCTGTTTTGCCGGGGATGGCCCCCTCCTAAGCACCCTCCCTCCTGCTGTCCTCTCAAGGGAAAGAGATCAGAGATGCAATAGGAAGAAACCCACACAGATATAAGAGTTTCGCATAACATGATAGAGGTGGCATTTCAAATCAAGTGAGAAAAAGAGTCCTCTGGTCATTAAATGATACTGGGATAACTGGATATTCTTCTGAAAAATAAATCAGTAAAGTTAGATTCCCAAGTCATACTACCCATAATGAATTCCGTGTGAATAAAAGGCCAAAATTAAAAAAAAAAATAATGAAAGTATTAGAAAAAGTATAGGTCATTAAAGCTACAGAGCACCAGGAGCTTTCCTGGGGAGGGTTGGGGGGGGGCAGCCTAAAAAGGAAAATAAGTATTAGATGGCACATGGGAGATGCGAAAGATGTATTTCTTAGATCAACAGCCTCCCCTGTAGAGTACTAAAGATAGGAAACATTTCTAAGAAAAGAGAAAACTGGACCCGGGGAGGGCAAAGTAAGGGTTTTCTCTTGACACAGAAAGATGTATTAGTTGTTACTAATGCCGCTGTTCACTAAATCGGCTACTAAGTGGGAGTCCTATGTCAGCCTTGAGGCTGCCTAGCTGTCCCTAGACCTCTGACAAGGGAGGCCACAGAACAGGATGGAATCGTGCTTTGACAGGTTTATCCCTCTACCAGATCTAGGAAAGAGATTTCTTCTAGGCAAAGGAGGAGAAGCCTTCACTGTAAATGATGAGAACAGTGTTTATTTCCCCTGCTGTTGCTATAGCAGCAGGAAGGTGATAGGTCAGTGACGGAATTCCTCAGACACAAGAAAGGGACGCCTCAATGTCATTCCAGTTAGAAAAACAGGTGGAAGGCTCTGGGGCTAGGCTGCGGGAAGGAGACATAGCTGTCAGACGGAGAAAGGAGTAAGATGCCGTTAGTCCACATCCTCTGCCCTCAGTTCTCCAGCCACAGCACATTTTGGTGTGGCCCGTTAGGACTTCACCCACACCCCTGGAAATAATGCAGCTTTGGGCCCACAAGAAACTTGGCCAGGCCGAAAGCAGTGTTCTCCAAATCTGGAACTAGGAACTCAGGGAGGTTGCGGGGGGGGGGGGGGGGGGGGGCTCTCTGCGGCCGGGTAGAAAGTATGGTTGTGGCATGCCAAGCAGTGCCGAGAGCAAATGGGGAGCCGTAAAGAGCCATCCTGGTAGAGATGGGTCGTCTCGCAGCCCCACTCTCCTCCTAACCTTGGAAGAGCTGGTGTGGCATCAGATGGCGGGCCCAGTACCACCCAAACCGAAAGAGCTACTTGGTAATGCTGCTGTTTACACCCAAAAGACCACCACCTAGAGGTGACGGGGGTTACGGAAACAGAGGGGTCTATCGGAGAAAACCTGTTCTGTGCACGGGGACAATAGACAGTCATGTGACAAGAAACTGAAACAGTGTGCCTCCTCAGGTTCCAAGGGTGGCGGACTTGAATGTCTTCAGGTATTCGCACCTTAAACTTTTAAAAAATTTGCTGAGGTGGCGAGGGTAGGGAATTCTAGGGAAGCCATTTTGCTCTCTTGTGTAGACTCCCCACCAGAGACAAAAAGAATGGTGTCTCAGACTGAGAGGTGATTCCAAACCTGAGGCTTCTCACTTCTCGCTGGAATCTCTACATGCCAAGGACAGCAGTCAAAAAGAACAAATAAATCATCAGGAGCCCAGGACGGGTTCCCACTTTATCTTGGCACAGAGTTAAGTACCCAGACCCCAGACCCCTTAGGCACCTTCATCTTCTTGGCATGGAGTTTCTCCTCCTTCAGGTGCTCACGAAGAATCTCCCGATGGTTCACCTCCTGCTCTTGAGCAAACTCACAGAGCGTGTAGCTGCGTACGGAGTTATGGCGCTGGGCCATGCCCAGCGAGCTCCCACCCTGGCTGGGCACACTGGTGAAACCCTGGCGCCGGGCGAAGTAGTACACGGTCACCTGGTCAAAGCGTACATTCTTCCTCCGCAACTGCTTCTGCCGCTTGAGGATGGATGTGGCTGAGAAGGAGCACAGAGCGGTTTTACCAACCCCGAAACGGCCAGCCTGGGGCCCTCGTTCTTTCTCGACTCTTGTCCAACGCGCTCTCTGTACCTCGAGACCCTGCTATCTTCCCATCATCCACGCACAGCCGGGAGGGACCCTGAACATCGGCTGGTCCGTACCACTGCCTCCAGACCGACTCCACCCAGACGGATGACCACAAGAGCTAATTGGAGACATCAGCTGGGAAGAGGCTCTCTAGGTGATCTTGATAACAATCTATATGGCTTCACTGTCCAATACGACAACTACTAGCCACATGTGGCAATTTAAAATAATAATTCAAAATAAAACGTAAAATTCAGCTCCTCAGTTACACCAATCGCATTTCAAATGCTCATAGCTACATATGGCTAATGGCTACCATACCGGGCAGTGCAGATATAGAACATTTCTATCATAGCAGAAAATTCTACTGGACAGTGTTATCTATAGCCGGGGTGCTGTACTGCCTCTTTAAAGGGCCAGACAGTAAATACTTCAGGCCCTGCTGGCCATGAGGCCTCTGCTGCAACTACTCAACTCTGCCACCGAAGCCTGAAAGCAATTACAGTGTGTGTGGCGGTGTGCCGATAAAACTTTATTTACAAAAATGGGCAGTGGGCCAGATCTGGTCCATAGGCAACTTCTGATCTACAGAATCAGAAGTTCTTTCCAAGAAATTAATGGAGCCATTAGAATTAAGAAATCCGGAGCTGCCCCAGTTGTCCAGGCTGCATGTACGTCCTTCCAGAGCTACAACTGTGTGGGACTCTGGTGGGTAAGGGGAGAATCCTGGACTTCTCCTTCTTCAGTTTAATTCAGCCCATTCTGGGGACCTATAAACCACAGCATAGGAAAAATCAGCTAGAATAAGTCAGACCTAAGTCTATCGCTCTATTAGAGCGATAAAGTCCTCCAAAGAGCGAGGTTGGGCCAAGAGTGGAAAAGCCCCCAGGCGGAGAGAAGCTGTCTCAAGGACCGCAATGGGCTCTGCCACTCAGAGGACGTGGGCGGAGGCAGGGGGCGGAGGGGCTCACTCACGCGTGAAGCTGGCAGCTGTAGGAGGATTGAGGCTGTCACAGCTGTCAGCACTGTCACTGCTGGAGATCTCATCATCTGAGTTGGAAACTGATGAGCCCACATCCACATCATCAAACTTCCTCTTGAGACTCGAGCCCGTGAATGCATCCATTGGTTTCAAAGGGGTTTCCTTGGGGAGCCCACCACGTTGGCCCCAAAGCCCCTGCTCACCACCAGTTAGCCAGGTACATTAGGATTCTGCCCAGGGGAAAAGGAGGAATCAGCATTCCTGTCCTGAGCCAGACCCCTCCCGAGTCTATACGCACAGCTCTCCAAATGAAGAAAGTCCCTGAGCTAGCGCTGATGTCTGGTCTCGCGAGACTCAGTCATTTCTCTACTTACTCTGGCCAACGTTCTCCTACTTTTACTTCCCTTCAGCCCCTCCAGTCTCAGTCGCTCGCAGAATAATGAGATGAGTAACACTGGCACCTTTCGGAGCAGAGTGAAGGCCTCTGGCTCCGAGCCAGCTGGGCTCTGGGTTTCATTAGCCCGGGGATAACGGCAGCTCTCCTGTGCTCACGCAGGAGCGCTCTCCAAGGGGCCCGCAGGAGGGACTGGGGACCACAGGCAGAATTAGGCTGTGCCTAAACCTACACTAGATCCAATTATTTTTCCTAGTGAAAATTTAGCCTGGCTTTTCCCAAAGTGTATATACTAAATCAACTAGTTCCATGGATATTAATAGCTTTACATGGAAATAGGACCGCTGTGTCCAAATAGCTTAGAAAAGTGCTTATGAGAGGACAGCTTGGAGGCTTTAAACATGCTAATGAGCATGGCGAAGGGTGAGAGCAAGAGCAAACATAGCGCAGGGGTCCCCACACCCGATTATGAAGCCTTTGTTTCCAGAGTGTCTCAAGGGGGCAAGTGATTCTTGGAACGCACTTTGGGAAATACTGCTCTAGGATCTAAGGTTCAGAGTATATCAGAAGCCAGGGAAACAATTTATCCAGATCTTCACAAGGGCGACCTTTCTCGCCAGGCTCCTAGAAAGATCAAATGTGGTTCTAAAGAATGGACTGAAGATTAGACTCTGCGCTGCCTTCAAAACCCAGAATCTTTTCCCATCTCAAAGAGCTCCGTAAAATAGGGCTGAGCTGACCTGTCATCAACCCGTGTGCGAGGAAAACCTAGATTCACCATCTTAGCCCTCCGCAAAGAAGCCGGCAAGGGGAAAACAAATAGCAAAAGAAGTGACAGTTGACTGGTGTCGTCAATATGGCAGGCAGTGCTTTCAACACGTCACGCACACACAAGAGTCTGGGAGAGTCCATTTCCCAGGGACAAATCTTTCTCCTTCTCCACCTTTGGACTTAAGTTCCCAAGAAGATGAAATCTGCTTGACAGAAATGCTGTCAGAGGCGGAGCCACATGTGATGATATGAAGCCTCCCTGCTTTGCCTCAGTAATGCCAGAATCTCCGCAGACTATGATCTCACTAGTTGCTAATTATGCAGCAGGAATAACAACACTGCCCAGAAAGACAGGGCTGCATTACTGCACAGCAGCTGCCCAGAATATACTGGGGTGTCAAGAGATGCCTGCTACAGAGCTGGTTTGCTGGACTGTGTCTCTCGGAAGCAATTTGCCTGCTCTTGGGTCAGTTCTACAGAGTCAAACAGACCTAGTAAGTATTTGAGGGAAGATATTTCCTGATCTATCCATCCAGATCTCATCAAGAGTCTGCATTCGAGTCACAAGATGTACCTAAGAAACCTCAGCCATCGTGGGTCTCAGACAAGCATATTCCTGAAATAAATTTGGCCAGGGAGGGGAAAAAAAAATCAAGTACTTGAAAAGAATTGTAATTAAATTTAAAAAGGAACCCAAAGGGTCAATTCCGTTCTTCAGGTTACTGATCTTACCATTAGAGGTCACATTCCTAGGACGTATTAAGAATGGAGAGAGCCAAGGACCTTTTAATGGGGTAAGATTTCAGCTGGGTTTAAAGATACCTCTTAACTAACAAATTTCTCATTCCATTCGATAATGGAGGTCAGTAATCTTTACAATTGAGAACTTATGTGGGTGGGATAAAAAAAAAGAGAATACTGCTGACCACCGCATTGAATTTTTCCTACCCGCTTAAAAAAAGCCTTAGAAACCACATGAAAACTCAAACTGAGCTGAAAATCTGCTTTCTCAGAAAGGGCCCAAGTCCAGCTTCAGTTTTAACTGAGATGTCCAGTGTTGCTACCGGGAAAGTGGCTTTTTCCTCGGGTTGGAAGCGTACAGCGCTTCATGACTGGAGGCAAATGTGCAGTCCTGCTCTTTCCTCCAGTGTCCCTTTGCTTCCAGTGGTGTGGCTTCCCTTTCAATATTTCTCTTTAAGCCCTGCATGAGGTTGGGTTTGGCCCAAAATCATCTTTATTATTAAAATTCTGTCTTAACCCAGCTGCCCTCAGGGGTATCACTTCTTCTGGTGCAGCAAGGATTGCTGGCTGCTCCATTCTCCTTCGCCCTTTTCTCTGTGTCTTCCCCACTTCCACTCCTGGAATAGTGGCTTCTGGGCAATGATAAGAGGGAGGTAAGAAGGGGGGGGGGAAGAAAGAAAGAGGAAAAGAAAAGATGTGAAACCTAGGAGAAAGGTATTTTCCTTACAATGCCAGAGAATCATCTGAACCCATTGGCTATATAGGTAAGTAATGTGCATACTGACTGAGCTCTCCTCGCCCTACCCAGGATCTGTCTGCATCATTTTCTCTGACATTCATTCCTCTCTCTATATATAATCCATCGATTCTGTCCTCACAACCAGTATAAATTTAAATTTCAACCCAGCCTTCCTTGTCCAACTCTGGTGTGAACTAGACTTGTCAGAAAAAGATACTCATTGGGCACCAACAACAAACCTCCCATCCACTTCCACAGTGGCCTGAAGAGAACTTTCTTTGCAACAGAAACAACTAGAATAGGTCCCCCACTTTCCAGTTCACCCCATCAACCTCTCTTCAAACCACAATTCGAAATCAGTCATTCCCACCTCCCTCAACCATTCATTGGCAGAGGATCAATGCCTGTGTTCAAGAGAAACACTTGTGAGTTATACTCCAAGCACTTAAACCCATACAGAAATAATGAAGGTGAGACTGGAAATGCAGGCCGTAACTGACAGTTAACTGTCAAAATGACCAACTCAAACAGCAAATGCTTTTGGAGGAAATAATGCAAACCCCTATAAAAGCTTTTTAATGCCAGCGAAATGAAAGGTCAGCTGACACTTTCTGGCTACATGCCTTATGGTCTCTTCTCAAGTGTTTCTAGCAGAAGGTTTCCCAAAGGTATATGAAATCAGGCGCACCCACAGTATACAGAAGACACGAGGCTAGCACCGAATACAGATCTATAGCGTATGTGCATCTTAGTGCTAGATCTAAGTCTTTTCGGGCCTGGAGGATTCCTATTACAACCTCCCAAAAAACAAAACAAAATAAAAAATACAGCTTATGTGGGACTAGCAAAAGAGGGACTGCCCAGAAAAAAAAAACCCTGTGGATTCAAAATGTATTTGCAAAGTTTGGGTAATGAAAGCCTCTCTCTTAACTGAGTATAAAATAATAAGACAAGGTATATCTCACAGGAGAAAGCCTCTTCAATCCACTGGAACCCAGCCTTCTGCTAAAGGTCAAGGGACCAAACTCTCTGGTAAGACTGTCGGGGTTACCTTCTGTAGCTGGGTTAGAGGAAGAAGGCAGCCTTCCTGCTAAGTGTCTGGATAAACCTGAGTGAGATGATCTGACCTGTTTCTCCTTTTACAAGATATTGCAGTTGATTCTCAAATACTACGAATTTCATGTATCCATGTGTCCTTGTGATTACCAGGATCATGAACTTAGAAAGTGCTTGAGTGCAAACATACTGTTTAAACTAGGTATTTTAAGGAAGCCCTCTAACCCTCACTCCGTTTTCTGTTTTTTTTACGCATATTCGCTAACACACGGTTCGAATTTGGCTTTCCATGTCTGAGCTACCGCGGAAGGGAGGACACAAGATCTTTGTGGGAGACCGGGAACGTGATGCTGCAGGAACCATTAACTCTCAAGGATATCCAGTCATTTGTAACTCTGGCACACACCAACATCCTCCTGGCTTTGGAGATTAGCAAGATGTAAAGTCAGAAAAGAAAATGAAAATCTGAATCAACTATGGCTTTACCTTTAACTGAAAACTGCAGGCCAAGAGGACACTGTGTCTCTTGGGGAGAACTTCTAACATTTCATGTTGAAGAACGGTTTGTGTGTCACACTGCCCCTCTAACCCCTTTCAAAGGCTAAATCAAGACCATGGCACTAAGAGGGATGGATGGCAGGCAGCTGCGTGTTTGGGCCTGTGAAAAATGATAAAGCTAGCAGCCAGGGCAAGTGATGCTTTCGTTTTCTCCCACAACGCCAGAAAAATAGGAGACATCAGGAACCTGAGCTGAAAGGACATGAAGGCATCAGTTCCCTTTAATGGACACCCCTGCTGAACCCTCCAGCTCCCGGCCCATGTCTCTGATTCCTGCTAACCTTCCCGCTCATTCCAGTCGTCTGCAGCCCCTGCCCAGCCTTCCTCATCCCTTCCTGCCTGCTACTCACAAATTCCCAACCACTCCTCCCACATTTTCCTCTATCCGCCCTCCCCTTCCCTCACTTCCCTCCATCCTACATCATCTCCACTCCATTCCGAACTCAACCCTCATCCGCAACCCTGCCAGCTTCCAAGCCGCCCATCGGTCTCCCCCAAGCTGCCCCCGCAGTCCGGGCCCGCGTCCTCCGTGCCCCTAGCTCCCACGCCTCTCCCGACTCTCTCCCTTCCCGGCGGCGCCCTGGCTCCCCGCCCCCCGACCGCTCCCGTCCGAGCCTCCCTCATTTCTGACCCCTCCATCCGCGCTGCTCTGGGTTGACCACTCCTCCACAGCCGCCCGAGGGCCGATCCCGAGAAAGGACGAGGCGGCACCCTCCGCCCCGCACCCCCAGGCCCATTACCGGCCCCGCCGCAGCTGCCTCCTCCCGTGATGATCTCTGCCGCCCCCGCTGCCGCCGCCGCCGCCGCCCTAGCCCGGGTGGGAAGGAGAGACGAGATAGCGAGTCCCGGGCCCGCGGCGACGGTCGGGGAGTTCCCAGGGCGGCAGGGCTGGGAAGGGAGGGCGGGTGGGCAGGTCGGCCGGCAGGCGGCGGAGGGCGGGCGGCTCCAGCAACTCGGGCGCCCCCGGTAGCAGACGCCCAGAACCGCCCCGGCTCCGGCTAACAATAGGCTCCGGCCGCAGCGCTCTGACTCTTATAGGCGCCGGCACGTCCTGACCGAGCCCCGGGGCAGGCTGGGAAATGGAGTCTACGAGCCAGCATCACGCCCGCGGCATGCCGGGAATTGGAGGCGGCGACCGGCGCAGAGCCGAAAGTCGTCTGCAGACGGACTCTGGAGGCGGGGTCTCTGCTGCAGTGGAACCTGGGAAAGCGAGTTTGGCGCCGCTGCAGCCCTTTGAACAGGAAGGGGGACAGCCTCAGCCACAGATCTTCAATGATTAAAAGAATCAGCCTCTAAAACTCCCCTTTTCCTTGCTCTAGGACCACACTCCCATGCCTAAAGAACATAATCCCCCTTATGCTCGCCCACGGGAGCTTAGTCCTAAGCAGCATGACATGCTGCAGCCTGCCCAAGGTATAGAGAAGAAAATACAATGTATTGAGTTACCGTGATACGTATTGACTGGTTGATGTGTTTCCTATCAAAAATAGTCTTACATGATCTCTGATCTTCACAACTTTGCAACTCATTTTTAAGATGGGATAAACGAAGACTCAGAAGTCAGAAGTTATATGGCATTTGTCAAGGACACCCAGCCTCGGCTTCCGGTATCACTCAGAATACGAGTATCTGTCTCTTCTTTGACCTATAAGACCCTACCACATATAGGTAGGTACATCCCCTCTCCGTACTACCCTCACCATCCCCCATCCTGTCATCCGTCTTGTTTCCTGCTACTTTTCACCTCCTGTACTCCGTTTTAACTACATTGGCCCATTGACCTCCTTGCAGTTCCTTCAACGATCGAGCTCTCACCTCAGGGCCTTTTCCCTAGCAGGCCACATACGTACTCCAACACTTAATTATTTGCTCAAATGTCCCCGTATCAGACTTTCCTTAACGATTTTTCTAAAATGATGCTTCCCCTTAGTCTCTATCCCTTTGGCTTATATTTCTTCTTAGCATTTACCACCTGATGTATATTTTCAGTCTTCTCTCACTTGACTAAATTCCATGACAACAAGGAATTGCTTTGTTTACTGTATCATGAACACCCCGTACAAAGCCTGATATTTGACATTTAGGAACTCACGAGATATTTACTGGATATTGATTGGATGGATGGCAGGACTTAAACTCAGGTTAGGCTGGTTCCATAGCCTAGTGTACTTTTCACTGCAACCAAGAACTATGGAGCCAGATCTGCTGGCTACCAAGCCATCTCAGTTTATGAACTGAGAAGTTGGCTAACTTGGACAAAATGCCAAAGATTCCAGTCCTCTCACCTAGGTGACATCAGAGGCTCCACGAGGCCAGGAAACAACAGTGCGAGATGAAAAAGCAGATCACGAGAAAGCAGTCCTTAGCGTACCATGCACTGATCATCTCCCTATCTGCTGAAATTTAGGTATGATATAACATGTAATCCAGAGCCAGATTGCCTGAATACAAACCCGTCCCTCCACTCAGTTGTAGTATGACCCTTGGCAAGGTATGTAACTTCCCTGTGCCTTAGCTTCCTCATCTGCAAAATGGGGAGGACAGTATGTATCTCATAGGGTTTCATGAAGATTAAATAGTTAATATAGTATGTTTACAATATAGTCAGTGCTATGTAAATGTTCATGATTCTGTCTTTCCTGGACACACAGATAACAAAAAGAGAAAGCCCCAGACCACTCTATAGAATCAGTGAGCGGAATTATAAAATAATAGCCAAAAGGCCATGTTGGTTAGGCTAAAAAAGTGTCTCATACGCCTACGCATCCACGGTTTGAGTCATAGAAATTCATCAGGGTACCATCAGCCTCAATGCCCACGATTTGTAGGTTAATGACACCAAATTAGAAGATAGCCAAACCAAAGTTAGCACACCCTTTGAAAACACAGTAGAATCCAATTTGGCAATAAGCTCTGTTTCAGTCAGGAGATCACCTGGACCTGTAACAAACATCACAACTACATATCACAGTCACTTATTCACCATATTTCATTGTCTTAGTAGAATCACTAGATAAGTAATGGTGCCAGTTTGCCCATAATTGCAATTCTGCCCCCTGCCTAAGCAGAGCCTATAGAGGGCAAATGACCAGGAAGCTCAATGCAGATTAGAAACTACAAAAACAAAGTGAAAAGAAATCCTAATAGCCTTTGATGTCTAAATCTCAATGTTACTGCTTTGTTCCAAACCACACTGTAACATATGTATGAACCAGCTCAGAATACACAAATCACGAATGGGTGGTTTGCTTCTGGGACAAAAATGTCAAAGCAGAACAGGAAGAAAAGACATGAAAACCAAAGGCCAGATTTCATGTCTTGGGCAGCCTACAAATCTGTCTTGCAGTTATGTCTCTACATATAGAGGTGATTTTGTAATCCTAATTTTACTGAGCAATTGGATAAGGGTACTAAATACAAAATTGTGTTTTATACTCAATATCCTTTTTAATCTCCCAAACAATCGTATGAATTAAATATGATCTCCTTTTTAAGATGAGAAAGTTGAGGTTTAAGAGAATATTTTGTCCAAGGTCACATCCAGGAAGAGCAAGATTTGAACAGAGGCTTATCTGACACCAAAGTATATACTGTATCAACTATTCTTTACCACCAAAACAAGAATACACTGGGGGGGGAGGGGGGGTTGAAAATTAATAGGTCAGAGGATACTATGTGCTAAACTTCTGAGAGAAAAAGAGTTAACCTGTAGATTTAGCCCTGAGGTTGACGTTACTTTACTAACTTACATTTAATTATAATCCAAATCTAGAGAGGTAGGCACCTCTTTGTGACTGGTTGCACAACAAAAAGAGACTTTTTTTGTATGCACAAATCTGGGGAAAAGTGCCACAGCAATTTAAAGGCACAAACAATGAAGAAGCTGTATGCTTCAGGAAGATTTCAAAAAGGACACACACAAATTGATCTATATATGTGCACAATACACACCCTATTTAAAAAAGCGAAATAACAATCAGGTTTAAGGGGGTTGAGTGCAGGGGTGAGTTTAGCGAGGGCAAGCTTACTAAGCCTAAAGGAAGTGAATGGAAGTCTGAAGCAAAGTTTTAAAGATGTGTAGAGAAAGATAAATAAAAAATCAGTCATTAGAGTTCGGGAAAAAACCAGGAATCTGTAGCAATTAAAATGAGGACTATTGGAACGCCTGGGTGGCTCAGTCGGTTGGGCATCTGCTTTCGGCTCAGGTCGTGGTCCCGGGGTCCTGGGATCGAGCCCCGCATCGGGCTCCCTGCTCGGTGGGAAGCCTGCTTCTCCCTCTCCCTCTGCTGCTCCCCCTGTTTCTGCTCTCTTTCTCTGTCAAATAAATAAATAAAATCTTAAAGAAAAAACAAACAAAAAAAAACCTTTAAAAAAACTAAAAAAATAAAATGAGGAATGTTTACCTCATCTTACACAAATATATGAAAACACAGATTCCATAAGAGAGACTGGTTAGTACTCATGCCCCCAAAGAGCCCATACAGTACAAAATAGTACAATAATGTAAGTACAAGTGTTTTTTAAATAGCAAGTTTCCTTATAATTTACATTAATCCAGTTGAAAATTTAAATTCATATAGAACTTTTAAACCTCTGAATTTGAGAATGCAAATGCTAGACTTAGGTACAGTTTGTTGATTAGGCCTGTGTTCGTAAGAAATAACACAGAGGAGATCTAGAAGGGAAAAGGAAAGATGAAGAAAAAGAGGAAGAAGTGGAAATAGAGAGATGTTTAAGATCAAGGGTAAAATACAAGGTCATTAAACGAAGCAAGAAGGAGAAATAAAATATTAACAAGTCAGAAAAAAAAACAGATGCTGATGTCATATAGGGCATCTTTTTTCCATTCCATTTTGCAGTGGTAGTAAATGCTTCCTCATTTAAAACTTAGAGCTTGTATAATGAAGCAAAAATTTACCCACAAACGAAAAATAAATATTCTAGCTTTAGGGAAAGCTGTAGCCTACAACTGAGAACATAGATCATTTTTAGGAGAAGCAGAAGAATGATGCAGGATACTCTGTATGAATTTGTACATAAATGATGCAGCTAGGTGGGGCATTTGTGCCATTCCTGTTGAGATTGGAGTTCTCATAACAGACCAGTAGAGGCCACAAACAGATCAAATTCCTACAGAGGAATCACCCACAGCCAAAGAAGCAGAACAATTCAGTAAAATGATAAAACGGCTCAACTTCAGCTCTCCGATCAAGCTATCTGGAATTGTTAGGTATTGGCTAGAGAAAAAAACTACAGTGAAGAGGGATAAATTCAGTCTTGACTTCAAATATTTGTACCCCAAATCTGTGTTACTTTCAAAACCAAACGCTGAACCTTCCTTCAATCCTTCACAGTCGTTTAAAAGACAGTCCCAATCTCTGCAGCAACCCTGTCCAAAAGATTTG